AACTAATTTCATGTAATTCAAGATGGTGTCAGATTGTTTCGAGTCAAGTCTGTTGTAATAATAATATTTAAATATATTCAAAAAAGGCCATAAAAAAAATAAATAAAAAGAAGAAGAGAGAGAGAGATTGCATTAGTTGGCTTTTGGGGTTTGTAACCATCAAAATATTTATGAGATGAGAAAGAAAGAGTGCTGAAAGAAGGACCCTCAAAGGTTGATAATATCTACTATTAATGACTAAATGACCTACATGGCCCTATATTTATTGGCTTTTGGGGTTTCTTTCCTTTCTTTTCTTCAAGTGCCCACTCGAATAACCTGTACCTGCCAATACAGTACCACACGGCTTCACTTTTTTCCTCCCTTTTTTTTTTCAATTATTCGTATCAGTCTGAAATTATTATACTTCTTCTATTTCAAATATTAACGCACTGGTTAAAAAAAAAAAGGCATCAAAGTCATTAATTGTCTAATTTGATCAAAGAGATATTATTTGTGAGATATTAAATTTTTATTTGTTGTAAATAATAAAAAATGGAGATAGTATTTTAATAATTATAAATATTATAGGTAAAAAAAATGTATATTAGTAAATTTGTTAATCAAAGTAATGCATTTAATTGCTTTCAAAAAAAAAAAAAAATAATGCATTTAATTTAAAGTTTTAAACCAGAAGAGGTACGGAGTATATTATTAGAGGGGGGGGGGGTCGTCAATCGTCATGAATAATATTGAAAAAAAAAAGGAAAGAAAAAAAAGAAAAGAAAAATAGGCATGAGTTATAATTGCTCTCTAAACAGTCGTTTTCATTCAAGTAAAAGGAGATTCCATGACAAAGATGTGTTACATGCTCTGACAAACTACTGCTACCAATTACACCACCATTATTTTCCCCTACTCAGTCCTAGGGGCACCCATTTTCGTCTTTCTGATTTCTCAAGATATAAAGTTTTTGCATTTTCTAGATTTCCTTGATTGTATTGTGTTCTTCACGTAACTGCTTATTGATCCCATTTTTGAGAGATTTTGGGGCCATGTTATATATTGACCCTTCAAAATGACCCTTATAAAATAAAAATATAAACCGACTCATTGGTTTAACATGCTAATCATCTAAAATAATTGTAACATAAAAATTACCCCCTCCGTTCCATAATATAGTTTCTGTTTATATTTTTTCACGGTATTTAAGAAATAGGAGAAAAAAGTGGAAAAAGTACATTAATAAAAGTGGAAAGTATAATTATACACAAAAATTAGAGAGAAAGTTGAAAAAAGTACACAACATGTGCAAAATTCAAGGGTAATATAGGAAGTACAATGAATAAAGTTAAAAACATGAGGGTATAATAGTCTTTACATACTATCCAAAAATAAAAACAAGAACAACATTTTGGGTCTCCAAAATAGGAAAATAGGAACTATATTAGGGGACGGAGGGAATATAATTACAATCACAGTAAGTTTTAATAAGATGAGTATTTCTAGTACTCTGTATTTCTTTTGTTACAAGACTAGACGTAGGTTTTCAAATTCCAATCCATACATAAAATTGACGAGAATACCCTTGATCAAGGTCCATCTCTGTCAGGAGGAGGTTGATTGACATTATGGACATCAGTAGGACATAAAAATAGCAGTGATTTTATAAGGTACGGAACACCACACGTCCACAGTTGATGTCTTCATGGCTTATCTTGAGGATCTGCTTTTTTCTCCATAGCAAGAAATAAGTAATTGGCCATCTCCAAATCTTGTTGGTGTCTTTAATTTGGGATATTAGGTACTCTGGTACATGACAATCTCATCAGCCACTCTGTAACTACTTCACTAGTTAGATCTGGCAAGATTTTCATCACCCAAACTTAACCCATTTGACAGTACATGGTTTTGACTCGAACATAACTGGCCTGATTTAAAACCTAAGATAGCGATAATGATTGATTTATCATAATAAGCTACTTCCACTTCACTGTAGACCCAAGAAGTTGACCCGTACTTACTCAACCTGACCTACGCCACTCATTTGCCACCTCCACAGTGCTTAGCAAATTGGCAAGTACAGTTATTGTCCTTTGAAAGTCATAATTTCTGAATTCTGAAGAGAACCATAGATTATAATCGTTTGATTTGTCAGACTCAGAGGTACCTAAGGAATACTCTGTAGAGCCTGTACCACTTAAATTTTATTTTTAGGAGACCATCCTAACGCAAGAACAACCTAATGAATCAGAGTGTAAAACTGTACTGAATTGCAAACCATCACAATGAGTGAACCAAATGACCAAACGAACACCATTCATTGATGAAAAAAGTAAAAAGTTCATGGTATAGTCCATTTTACCAGCCATACCCCATGTAAGTCTATCACAAAAACCAATAGATCTTATATCCAACAAATTCGAGGGAAGAAAAAAGTGAAACTACAGTAGATCATGTTATGTTTCAGCCTAAAATAGAAAAAGATGTGGATAAGCACATGCAAGTTTATGATCCAACTATTTTTTCCATAGTAGTTTTGAGCAAATCTTCTGCTTCATGACAGCAACAGGCCACTCAACCTATACATTTGCTTGTAAATCAATCCAGAAAATGACTAATCGTCTATACAACCAAGCAAGACATCTAGTAGAAAGGGTTCGCCGGAAACCCTGCTGATACATTATAGATATCAGAACAGAAGGTATAATAACTTTCACGAGTAAACCGACCTATATTTCACATAAATGGTAAGCCCGAGTAGGACCTGTCTTAGTATACCCGGCCGGGTCAGGGCCTTTCAATGGGGCCCCACCTCGTTGACAGCTCAACTGACTGCCCATGGCCCACCTAATTCAGATTCAATCCACCCGATTCTGTATCTGCCTAGAGACAGCTACACAAGTAGTAAAGAACAGATCAATTTTACTATTTTGACAACACAAAAATTTGACCAATAGCAATCTTCTGTTCAGGGTATATTCCCCTAGCTGTTTCCATCTAAGTGTCTAAGCCAGAATATAAGTTGCCATCATACGCTCAATATCAGATAAAAGTTTGACAAGCCTCAGCCAGAATATGGAACAGGATTTTTACCATGATACTTCAAACCAATCAGTATCTAACTGCAGCACAAGATTGCCTATCATCCACTCATGCAGCTGCTGAGACTATGCTGCTCGAACAACCAAACTCTTCAATTTGTGTCCGATATTTGACATTATGACATAATTATGGACACAAACACTTCAATTTGGAGTAATTTCGCCCCATTACTTCCATAAAAAAAACCAGAGTCTGAAACTAGAACACGAACTTCATCGCTCGGCTATATGCTCTTTCCCAGAAAACCCCATACACGTCTTAAGCTGAACTTGATAGACCTTATTTGAACTTATCTAAACATACCAACCCAAATGCTAACAAAGCAGACCTTATTTGTACTTTACTTTAAAAGACCTTTACTTCGTACTGTATGAATTTATTCAAAATCATACAACCTTATCTAAACTTATGTGAGCTAAGTATCCCTCATTTGAACTTTTCGAAGCTGATCCAAACTCATAAGACCTGAAGCCTATTGTTCAGCTTTTTAGAGCTTAAGTAACATAGACAAGATGACAAAATTTCAAGCTCTAACCAAGCTTTTTCCAACTTATCCAACTTCAGTCTCATGATTTTCACCTCTGACAAACCAGCTTTGTACGTATTCTAATTCCAAAGAACTCCATAGCCGATTCATCTTAATGGACCACAACAATTTCTAGACGACCAATTTACTCTAGCAGCAGGCGTCTTCAATAATGAACTCTATTTCCATTGGCCACATGACCACATACAAACAGAGGAAAAGCTCTACGCTGCTTTCCAAAATTCAATTACACATTTTCGCCTATTAAAGCCATTAGTAAGTTGGTTACACCTATTCCTACTTATAACATGTTATTGCTCATACAATCTCTTCCAGTCCATTATCCATGCTACTCTTCCATACGCTATTTAACTTATCAAGTGTGACAAAAGTTTCAATTTTGTTCTAATCATTCAATTTATTTCCTTGCTTTTGCTACTCTTCTTAATAATATATAATTTCCTTTAACAAGACTTCCTTTTTATACCCAACACCTACAATTCATCACCTCAAACCAATGTTGCTAACTGATTCCTTTAAAATATTCAATTTGAAAAATTGCCTCATATAGGACACGACAAAAGAAAGATACTATGCATACTTGTTACTATGTATGCAAGGCAGCACAAATATAACACAAAGTATTTCTTGCCACTTTGCCAGCTATAAAGATAGTGCCATTACACGCTTAGTTGTCTGGTATATTCAATAGACATTTAATGCTACCTCCAAAAATCCAAAATGCTTCTAGCAAGCCTTCTTCATATGATCTTTCCTTAGTCTATTAATGGTACATGTGAGCCCAAAAATCATCGGTTCCATTTACTTAGGATAAATCCTTCATTACTGTTCTTCCTATTACAACTTTTTTACAGTAGGTATCAGTTTATCAGAAAGCATATCAAGCTACCCAAGCAAATCAATCCTTCCCTTGACTTCATATGAAAATCAAAACTTTCCAAGGATAGAGACCAATTTATGGTATACAAACCCAAAAGTTCTAGTCAGTTGTTTCTGTATAGGTTGTTCTTCTTTTGCATACTCTCTCTCTCCTTTTGCTCTATCTTTTTTCCTGCTCTTTGTTTCACCAAATTCTATCATCCATCCTCTATCTCCATTTCACTATTTACCTTCCTTCCCCTACCTCCATCCCTAATCCTCAATTCTTTTTGACTTTTATAATTTAGGTTACCAGATTCATTTACAACCAAGTCCATCTACATCCATACTGGTAATTCCATTTGTCCACAATAAAGCCTAGAAGTTCACAGTATTGTTGTGTTTTGCATATCAATCATAGCATTAATAAGTATCTTTGTCTGTGAATATCATATAATCGTTCAGGAAAAAAAAAAAAATAATAATAATAATAATAAAGAAAGGAAAGAAATAAGAAAAAATGGACATCCCTTTCATTTCTTGTAAACGAATATCGTACATTCAATCAGTTAAGAACAAGAAAATCCACATAAACAAACATAGACAAGATGAAAGAGTATTACAAGTCATGTCGGCTCTTCCACTTGGACTGCAAAATTGCCTAGCCTTCTGCTTGAATTCCAAGAGGAAAGATTTCTTCTAGTAGGGCGATTTTTTCCCTTCATGTAACTGGAATTCCAATCTCCTCCATCCTGAGCATAGTAATCCATAGGATAATCACCTCCATGATCAACCCCACCTTTGTTAGTTTCATTATCACAACCACAACTCCCCCCATTTCTCCCACAATCAACACCAACAACGCTATCATCTCTCTCCCACCAACCACGAATCAAGCCAAGCGCAATCTCAGCCTCAAATGGATTCAACAAAGGCCTATGGAAAGCCTCCCCCCAATCAATCGATAATCGGGGACAAGCAATTTGAATCCAAGCATCAATCGAATCCTCAAACAACTCAATCCTAGAAGGTGATATCTCCGACATTAAAACAACTGTCCACGACATCCCTTTCTCCTCCATCTTCCTCTCCAACCTCTCAAGACTCTTCGGGTTCCCCTGCCTCCCTAGCGTCCCCAACACAACTCCCCAGTTCTTAGCCTCTTTCGCCTTCATAACCGCCCTCATTCTCGAATCCTTCATCCCTTTATGATCATACTCCTCCAAAAATAACCTCCCCAAATATGGATCATATCGAAACGCCTTAACCCCGGGATTCGAAATCATAAACGCCTCTAAATGAAACCTCCCATCAGCAACAAACACAATCACCAAATCCCCATCATCCCCACCAACCCCAACACCCCCAAAATCCTTCATTGAAACCTTAGGTGCAGTACACCCCAAAACCTCCCCAGCAGACAACGGTTTCGATTGGGGAACCAAAACCCTAAACCCTAATCTCTCAAGCTCAACCTTAACCCCCCTAATTGCCCCAGCAAACTGAATAGTCCCAGCAACAGCCAAATTCCTACTACCCAATTCATTCACTTCAATAGTCTTAACAAGTTTCGAAACATCAATCCCAATTTCAACAAAAACATACAAACAAGGTATGACCGTATTATCCACCGGAACAAGACAACTATGTCCGTAATGAATGAGAAGATCAGCGCCAAGGGCAGCAGCAGAGAGGTCGTCGACGCAACAAGCGCCGTAAGTAACGTCAGCAAGAACGAAGACGTCGGAAGCAGAAGCGAAGGTGCGGAAGATGTCGGAGAGAGAGAGGGAGTACATGAGCAACCCTTCGGGGAGTTGGAGCGCGATGCGCGGTGAAGGCGAGGAGAGAGAGAGGATTCGATGAACGGATTTGTGGATTTCGAAGTTGTAATTTGATGGGAGGAGAGAGATTGCGGCGTTTAAGGAGGGATTGTTGAGGATTGAGGAAGGGATTTGGTTGCGTATGAAGCGTTTTGGTTGGAGTTTTGGGGTGGTTTTCTGGGTTGTAGTTATGGCGGAAGGTGGTATTGATTGGTGGTTTACCGGCGGAGAGTGGTTTTCCGGTGGTGGGTTGTCGGAGTTTTTCTCCATATTTTTGGTGATTTGAGGTTTAGTTTTGGCGTTGGCAGTGAGGTGGTGAACTGTTTATAAGTGTGCACTTTGCAGTCATTTCCGCGGGCACAAAGTTTAGAAATAAATAGAGGTGTAAAAAAAGAAACCAACTGACCCGATGTAAAACCAACTCATAAAAAAAAAAATAATAATCCTCAGATTTTTACTCGTGTGAAGTTTATGAACTCAATAATTTAGTAAGATTCAAATTTAAAAAAGATTCAACTCGAATTTGTCGAATTTGATCCAGACACTCGAATTGACACCTCTAGTCAGCTACTCAATTCATTATTTTTAGTGCTATAGATTAATCGGCACATAAATGTATTGATTTGTCAAAAATAGAAGTGTAATTCTTTGAAACCCTGGTGGGAGTAGCATTTGAAATGAGAGTTGGGAATTGTGGATGTTAAGTAAATTGAATTGGACGTGTAACCCTTAACTATTCAAGTAAAAAGCAAGATTTTAACCTCATTGTGATATGACATCAGTTTATGTTTCAAAATATAATGTAATTAAGTCTTACAAATGTACTTTGTTTTTCTTTGATAGGACTAGAGAAATATTAAATATTCGATGTTTTTTTTGTTGTGATGCAAAATACTTTGTAATAAGCAATATTGTACCTCATTTCATTGTAAAAATTATTTTTTCAAAACTTTGAAATCAAAATAAATAAGAAATGAGTTGTTATTCTTACCTTCTTAATTATCTTTTAATCATACATAGTACATGTTTCATGATCAAGTATAATAAAACTTGGATTGAAAGTGCTTATTTTTTTTCATAAATTATTCTATTGTGCAAATTTATTATTACATAGTTTATAGTTCAAATAATTTAATTCGATATTCAAAGTAAAACTAAGTGTATCGCCCATACTATACACTAATTGATACTCAAAAGTTGGGATTAGAACTCTTTGATATCATCGACATTTTATGGATTGTCTACACCCAAAAACAGCAAGTAATCAAGGATTGTAATATGCTTCGTTTGTCTCAAAGTACTTTCCATTTTTTTTAAGATGTCGAAACTTAATTAAGATTGTGAGTAAGGTAATACAGTAGTTATCAACTCCTTCTCCATTCTTTCATTGGTATCATTGTATGTGTGTTTGCAGTGGGGGAGCTATTAGATTGGTTGTGCTCACTTGTTCGAGTCGGTTTTGACAACTTTGTATGAATGAAGGGGGAGATGGATAAAGGGATAATAATGAGTGAGGCTAACATGTGCATGTTCAAAACTCACTTTGATGTATTGAGTTCAATTCAAACTTGAAACTTGTGAATATTTAAAAATACCTTAGTTAAACACTAATGCCATCGTTGACAATCAACTTTCTTTACTAGCTTCATTTTCCATGCCCTTCTCACACCATGATACACACCTCCACAATTGAATAAACTACACTTCAACTCATTAACAATTTTTACCCCTTCTCCAATACAACAAAATAAACTTTCTTCTCACAAGTAATGTAAATAGACATACTCATAAAACTTGTACATTTCTAGGAATATTTTGCCAATGACATTAACCAACCATTTAAAATCAAGCAAGTTCATCCTTTCCCTCCTAGACAACCACCAATGCCTTACCATCCCTCACCTCAACCAAATACAATCCCATCTCATCGCTTCCGGCGCGCTTTCCGACACTTATGCTGTCGGAAAACTCGTGTCGGCTTTCGCAAACCACCCTACATACCTCTCTCATGCTTATAAACTCCTCATTTCCTCACGTTATCGCTCCAATTACATGTGGAACTCTTTGATCAAATTTTTCGTTGATAATCATGAACCCATCAAAGCAATTTCTTTATACAAGAACATGATTTCTTCTGGTTCTTTTCCCAATAATTATACATTTTCATTTGTTATTAAAGCTACTAATGATCTTTGTGATTTGCCTTTAGGAATTATGCTTCATGCTCAGAGTATCAAATTGGGGTGGGAGTTTTATGATTTTGTGCAAAATGGGTTGATTCATTTGTATGCTATGTGTAATGCTGTTGATTCGTCTCGTAAATTGTTTGATGTGAGTGCAATTAAGGATGTTGTTACATGGACTGCTGTGATTAATGGATATGTTAAAGTTGGCCGAATTGGGGATGCACGAAAGATGTTTGATGAAATGCCTGAGAGAAATGTGGTTTCTTGGAGTGCGATGATCACTGGGTATGCTCAAATGGGGTTTTTTGAAGAGGCTCTGGAAGTCTTTAATGATATGCAGATGAATGGATTTCGGCCTAATCATTCTTCCTTGGTTGGGGCACTTACAGCTTGTGCGGCTCTTGGAGCCTTTGATCAAGGGAAGTGGATACATGCGTATGTGGATAGAAATAGGATGGAATTGGATGTGAAATTAGGCACGGCGCTGGTTGATATGTACTCGAAATGCGGGTGCATTGAAATGGCTAATCGAGTGTTTGAGGACATGCCATCTAAGGATGTGTTTGCTTTCACTTCTTTGATTTCTGCATTGTCAAATCATGGGCAGTGTGAGAGGGCAATTGAGTTGTTCAATAGGATGCAGCGCGAAGGGGTTAATCCAAATGGGGTTACATTCATTTGTGTCCTAGCTGCATGTAGTAGAATGGGTTTGGTAGACAAGGGATTGCAGATTTTCGAAAGCATGAAACACCGTTATGGAATTGAACCGGGAGTTGAGCACTATGGCTGTTTGATTGACCTCCTAGCAAGATCAGGGATGCTACAAGAGGCAGCACAGCTAGTGAGAAAGATGTCAGTGAAACCCGATTCTTATGTTTTGGGTGCACTACTCAATGCTTGCCGAGAATATGATAATGTTGAGTTGGGGGAAGAAATTGTAAAACAGTTAATGGAGCAAGGTCTCGACTATAGTGGGGTTCACACACTTCTTTCAAATATTTATGCATTAGCGAAGAAGTGGGATGGAGTTATGCGTGTACGGGAACAGATGCAAGAGAAGATGGTGAGAAAGGTGCCAGGATGCAGTTTGATTGAAGTAGATGGCGTTGTTTCTGAATTTGGTGCTGGGCACAGGTATCACAAGAAAATGGAGGATGTAATGTTGTCTTTGCTTCAAATGGACAAGCACTTGCGATCCTTCTTGCTAGATCATAATATTGCTCTTGGCTCTTGCACCTGAAATTACATATTCCTAATGAAAGTAGTGGTCAGATTTATCAAAGTTGGGTGTTAAGAAAAAACTATCAGTTCCACCACCCTCAGCAAATTAACAGAGGCAACCGCGGATGACAGTTGGCTGATTCATTTAAGCATAAAATAACCATCTTTTATCTTGCTAATTAAGGAGCAATTGGAGCAAGATTAGGATTTGGTCTCTAAGACTCCAAAGTTATGCTGCAGGGTGCTTGCTAGTCTATATGCGCTGTGGGTTTGATGATGTACCATTGCCTAATCAATCTACTAGATTAGGTTTGGTTTGTGAGAGTTGACTCTTACCAACAAAGATCACCTCTACTTCCAAATAACATAGGCACTATACATGTGCGGTACAAATTACAAATATGATTTCCAAAGTACTCGTATTACATATTGACACAAGCTTATCTTTACAATCCATGTTATATTTGCTTGGAACAAACAAAAGCTTCTGTGTTAAACTCATGTAACTTAATTTAGAACTTCCCATAGTTTACTTCCTTAGTTGAAGGAATGAATGTTACATTTTCCTCAGAATACCTATCCTCCTCCTCCCTCGTCTGTCCTCATTTCTCCTAAACATGGCCTCGACACCAAAATTTGTTACACATACGCCATTATTATACACACGCCATTATCATCTACTCTAATAGCACATGGAGTACATACTATGCAAACACTTTACGCCACTAAGAGAATAATGCAGCAGAAATCCTGAAATTGACTCCTCTCATATTCAAGCAGTCTAATCTTTCTTCTTTTTTTGGCTGAACAATTTAATATGTCTTTCACTTAATAATTTAATGGTTTCTTTGCTATAAGCCATGATAGGACGTCAACTATATGATCGTCCATTTGTGGTTGTCAACATTTCACAAATATCGTTTGTCTATGTCAAATTGTCATTCTTGTAAGCCTAAATCTAACAATAAATTGGGAGAATCTTAGCTTTTTTTATAGGATTATGCATTAGGACTTCGTTGATACAATTTTGTACCAAAATATTAGCATAATTTTATAGAATATATAGTAAATGTTTAGTGAAATCGAATATTGCAATTTAGTCATAGGTTTATGCGCTTAACACTATGTTGCCACGAGTAAAGAAGTTTGGTTTCATGTTTTTTTCACTAGTATGTGCGAAATATTTATTATTTATGTTTATTTCCAAGAAGATAAAGAATAAGTACTTGTATAAGATACTTGTAAAATATTTTTTCAAAGTGGTACTAAATTTAAAAAATTATGACAAAATTGCGATATTCGATTTCACTAAACATTTACCATATGTACTACTGCGTATTATGTTAGAAATCACGTCAATAATCAAAAGAAATCCCTATCTTTTCTTTTTCTTTTAAAAGGTTTGAGATAACTCTTATAAATAGTATTTGAATAATTATTCCTTTTAAAATGTATGAGAGTGAGGTATAACTCAAGTGGTTAGAGCTCCCTTCCCGATTTCAGAAGATCTTGGGATCGATTCTCATCACCCGCCCTCGTGGCTCTCTAAATACACAAAAAAAAATCTAGATTTAATAATTGTGAGAAGGTGATATTAGGGAAAGGGGAGTAAAATTAGGCCAAAATAAAACCCTCAAGGAATGTTAAAGGAGTATATTAATTATGTTGGGATAATATTGTGAATAAATAAGAAACTAATCCCTCTGTCCTGTTCTACCAAAGGAAATATAGTCATATGAGATTTTGTTTGGTTCGTCTCATTAATTAATATTTACTTTTTATAATTTTTACGTTTATGAAAATTGAGATATAAACGTTTTAACACATGTCTTGGAGACCGCGTAAAGTCAAATGGGGCAAAAATAAAGGGACAAGATAAGTCTTGTGTAAGGTGGGTTGTACATTAATTTTATTGTAAGACAGTCAGTTTAAGAGTAACTTTAACTATTTTTATGGTAACTTTAACTCCTTAAAGGATAACTTTTAATTTGTCGTTACTTTGAATTTTATTTTAATGTGTAATATCTTGGAAAAATACACTTTAATAAACCCAATTATTGCAATTTACTTTTAATAATCCCAAGTAAGGTTTATTATCTAATAATTTTAACTATGCTAAGTGTTTGCCTCCAATAGTCCCAACAGGTCAACACCAAGTCAACAACCTGTTATAAC